CCATGAGATTGGGAGTCTTGCCCTATCAGCACTTGGCTAGTGTCACCAGGGGACTTCTGTAAATTATATAAATGAGTTACAATACTTTCTCATTTCATTTTTGTTTGTATAAAGCTTGTTTTAGTCATTTAATATCTTAAAATTTGAGGTACAATTTGCTCCGCACAAATAAAGATATTAATGCAAATGTATATCGTCATATCTCTGGGAGTATTCCAAATGTTTCCACCTTTTATTTGAATGGTACTCAGCTCCTCATACAGACCTGCCAATCCCTGATAAAGGAAAATCTGTAGACTCGTGAAAAAAAATCGGGAGATTCTACAAAAAGTAGTGAGATTCTATTTTTTCCCGATCAAAATTAAACAACCCCTTTTCCATTAGGGGAATCAACTGTTTATTTTAATATAACCTTGCTTTAGTGTGGTCCCTTATGTAACAAATTAGATGCCGCTTTTTCTTTGATGACTTTAAAAAATAGGTTATCACTTTGACGAAACATACAGCAGAGTCATTTCTTTGGGCTAAGACAACTTTATGGCTAAAATAGTCAAAGCTTATCCAGGTACAAGAATTTCCTCACAAAATTTATGTCTTTATTCAACAAGGTAATATTTCAATTTAGAATATTTCCCAGAAAACCATGAGATTGGGAGTCTTGTCGTGAGGCCGTGAGAAAAGTTTAAAAATCGTGAGACTCACGGCAGAATTGTGAGAGTTGGCAGGTCTGCCTCATATGACATTTTCTATCGAAACCTGTATGTAGTAGGAAGAAACTTAGTTTGTATTAAGTGGGCACTACAGCATGCTCTGAGGTGTCCGCTTAAATTATACAAGTTTCACTGTATATGTTTGACTCCATTCGCACTAACTATTGATGTGGAACGATATGAAATTGCTTCATGCATAACAGATGTACATGTTTGGAGCTGTATGTAAATCTTATTAATTGTTTTTGCTATTTATGAAAACTTAATGTAAGCTTATAGGTATTACAGAGAAATATCCTTTGCTTCAACAAGATGGTACAACCTTCAAGTGTTAAAAAAATATATATTCCTGGTGTAATTATTAAAGATACATAGTGTTGAGGGAAGTCTTTGGTTTCCTTTTTCTTAAAACCGAAAAATAATTGACTTACATTGTGCCAGGGTAACCGAGTCGAGGTCATCTGTTTATATCAATATTAAGCGCACTCGAATGGACTGATCATTTTTACTGCTCATTTCTCCCATTAAACATCAAAGACAATGTTTTCCACTATTGCTGACCTACCCTTCTGCCAATTTCCACACCAAACCGATTTTCTAAAACATGCGATGTTAATATGCGATCATGCAAATTTCTGCAACAAATATTCAACTTGAAAAAACTGGCTTAAACTGTTTACGAGGTAATTATCAACAGAATATAATACAATTAACTCTCCTTCTCGGAAAGAGCTGTTGCAACTATACTTTCCCTCTAACAGAAACTACTTTAAAGTTTACTTATCCCGAACAGATAGCTTGAATAGGTGGTACTATTGGCATTATTGGAGATAACAGCAAAGAAATGAATACAATTGCATCAGTTCTGGGACTGTACCTTTAATAGCGACTACGCTGGCACACTCGAATGGACTGATCATTTTTTCTGCTAGTTTATCTCAATTAACTTCGGAGACAATGCTTTCCAATAGAAGTAACCCACCCTTATGCCTAGTTTCAATGTTCAACACCTCACCGATTTAGAGAAAATGCGATATTACTGTGCGAACATGCAAACTTTTGCGGCACATTATTCCACTCGAGGAAATTGACCGAAACTGTCTACAGCTCCCATACGCGTTATTTTTCGGATTAATACACATTTCACTCACCTTTTCGGAAAGAGATGTTGAAACTGCACTATCCTACCGTGACAAAAGCCATTTTGGAGCGTCAATATCCAGGAAAACCAACTTTAAAAGTAGCATTTGGAAATGGCAACGGCGCCATTTTCGAAAACTCCTCGAAGTTGCGCGCTTCTCTCTTCGTGACGTTACGATGGCCAAGATCGTCCGGACAAACAAACTACCAAGTTCACCACCACCCCCCCGATTGAACATTGATCGCGATCTAGTAAAACAACTGGTCTGCGGACAGCTTCCAAATAAATCACGTCACCTTGATGAGTTGACACATGAGCCCTCGATATGGCAATGTGATACTGCTCAGTGGCTATCCTGTTTTGACAGCTGTCAATTGACCATATTGTGAATGGCCAATGTAAAAGATGTGGATTTGCCAAGACACGCCTGAGACACCCCTCCCTTCCTTTTGATAGTCTCCCCTACCCTACCCGTACAATCTGTAGACGTGTACGTACGTACGTACGTACGTACACTCGGTCAGTCACGTGACAACCAAAAGAAAAGAGGTTGACCATATTCTATGAGTAAGGGGCTCTGTCCCACGCGCGCTTCTCGCGCGAGGGAGCCCCGCTACAATTTAAAGCGACCCTTCCCATTGGCTACAGATCTTTGTAGTCGCTACGGACTTTATCGACGTTCTCTTTCGCCTCCTCAATGTTACCTTTTTCGCAAGCGTACCTTTTTTGGCACATCCAAGGGTTTTAAGAAATGAAACCACATGTAGCCCAAGCTCGAAATATGAGCATCGGCGAGCATCGGCATTGTTGCGTAACATTCAAAATATAAGGATTTGTATGGGAAAAAAACCTATCGTTTCTCTACTTTCTGTAACCTACGAAAATGAAAGGATTTCAATAAAAAACAGCTTACCTTACTTAAAATGTGTGTTACGTCTCTCCTGTGTGGTCCACGGGTCGATTTTTGGCCGTTTTGAGGGGTTTTTATGTAAACGGTTTTCTCTCTATATAAAGGTTAGTCTGCTACACAGTCGTTTTTAGTGTCGTCACGCAACGCTCCTCCCCGTTGCGTAACGACTCTAAAAACGGCTGTGTAGCAGACTATATAAACGTTTACCTATAGAGAGAAAACCGTTTACTTAAAACCCATAAAACGGCCATAAATCGACCCGTGGACCACACGGGAGAGAGGTACCACACATTTTAAGCAAGGTTAGCTGCTTTTTATTGAAATCCTTTCATTTTCGTAGGTTACAGAAACGATAGGTTTTTTTCCCATACAAATCCTTATATTTTGAATGTTACGCAACAATGCCGATGCTCGCCGTTGCTCATATTTCGAGCTTGGGCTACCTGTGTTGAAACTGTTTCAGAATTAATAGTTACAACTGCAACATCAGTTAAAAATTGTTTTCTCCTAAGCACAAATTCCATGTACTTGAACGAAAGATCCTGATTTCTCTAAGCCATCAGAATTTCTTTATTGACCATATTCAATGATGACAGTCACAGCATTTTTTTCTGGGTGGTACTCTTAAACTTGACGATCTTCTGAGTCCGTGAAAACAATGCTTTCATTTCTCGAACACAGAAAACTATTAACGTTAATGCTGAATTATTCGGCGTTGAATTGTCTACAGACAACTCTATGTCTGACTTTGCCTGGCACGGCCCTGGTACCTTCTACATGAGCGTTTTCACATGACGTCACGGCGTTCATATTGGTGTTCCAAAACAATGAAACGGCGGCCATGTTGCTATTCCAAACCAGTCCTATGGAAGTTGAAACATTTCCTTATGTAAACGCTTTCTTTTGTTCCGATAAATTTGCATAGATGCTGGTCACGTGAGTGAAAACGCTCTATCGGAATATTAGTGTCATTAGTCTCATCAGCGGGACAGATAAATGGCACGAAATAGTTTCGCTATTTGAAAAACGTTGTTGTTTTTATTACAATCAACGATTGTATTCAGTATAATTAATACAATGTTACTTAACTGTTAGCTCTTCATTTATCAGTTAACTGTTAATTTTTTGGCCAGTTATCAGTTAACTACTGTTTTGAGGCCAATCATCAGTTAACTGCTAGCCCTAGTGGTACCCTCTTGGTTTCACGCTTTTGTTCGCCACAACCAACTTGGCTACGGTGACGTCAGCTGAAAATATGGAATAGATACAGTAGATACTCTATTCGTAGGACGGCACCCTCGGAACAAATGCAAGTGTTCCCTGAACAGAGGGGTCCCCTGAATGGAGGTTGGGCTGGGCTTTTGTATATTTTACTTCTGCGGCCATTATTTCAAGCAGCTAGATAATGTATAAAAAATCATGATTAACTTTTCACTGCGATGTTGTGTGTTGAAGTCCCACAAGTGCAGTACATCGATTTATTAATAAATTAGTTCATGTTTTGTGAAAGCCGTCGCCATTGTGACTACTGAAAACTTAAACTTATCGAGGAATTTTTGTGGTTAGTCACCTTTTGAGTGCTAAGGTGTACCCTGAACAGAGGTTGAATCCGGGTTTTGGGATCCAGAATCGAAAAAGAGACCCTTTCCCATGAATAGAGGTGTCCCTTCAATAGAGGAAACAAATACAAAGATTATGTGAACATTTTTCGGGCACCAAATTTTGTGACCCCTGAATGGAGGTGTCTCTTGAATACAGATGTCCCAAAGGATAAGTTCCACTGTGATATATATATACATCATAAATTCTGTTACAGTACCACAAGTGAAGAGTAAAACAATATGTCTTTCGTCTCTCACCTATATTTTGGCGGTGTTAAACGGCCTTCATCAGGGTGAATGGCCGTTACAAGCATCACTCACCATTGTTACGTGATAACGAACAAATTTGAAAACTTGCACGCGCTAATAAAGGAAGATAAACACGCGCGCGCTCTTACCGGACACGAGACCTAGTCGCCCTATTCTGGCTGTAAAAAAAGTCACTTATATTCAAGCCCTGAGTTGTAAAGGGAGTGTCTTCTACTGTATTTATTGAGTTGTGAAGGGAGTGTCTTCTAAAAGATGCTTGTGATAGGTCATAAATTCTGTTTAGTATACAAATGGTTTATTTAAGGTTTACACGAAAAATTGCTCACCTCTTCTATTTTTCTTTTAGATATTTCGCAATAAACAAAGAAATGAAACAAGGCTATCGCAACCTGTCACAACTGAGTGAGAGTGACGAAGAAACAGTCTTAGAACTGCAGTCCTCGGACGCCGAAAGTTCTTCAGATGATGAAAGCGTTTCAAGTGAGAACTATATAGCGACTGAAAGCGTTGCATCTCTGCCTGAAGGGACATCCTCGACATGGAAGGCAACAATGAACTTGTTAAACTTCATCGAAGGGGTTGGATTGCTTGCTTTGCCGTATTCTATCAAAAAGGGTGGAATCACGGCTGTGATATCACTGTTTTTACTGCCAATTATAACCTGGTACGCAGGAAAAGTGTTAGCCGAGAGTTTGTACGACAGCGACGAGAAAAAAGGAAAGATTCGAGCAAGATCAACTTGGAAGGAGATAGGAGACGCGATATATCCTAATTATGCAGGTAAAATTGTCGCGTGGACTCAAGACATTGGTTTTGTTTTTGTAGCAGTCAGTTATCTAATTCTCTGTGGATCTCTCACCTCCCACGCCCTACCAACAGTACCCCTCTCGCAAACTTCCTGGACTTGCTTCGCTGCACTGCTTATTCTACCAACAATGTTTTTGAAATCTTACTCCCAGATTGCATGGCTAAGTACTATCAGTATAGTCGCCATTGGTCTAACTACGGCAATAACAGTATGGTATGGCGTTGAAAATATAGAGAATTGGGATCCCAGTACCCTCTTGTTTTGGGACTTCGAGGGAGTCTTCATCTCGCTGGGAATCAATTTGGCTAGTTACGGCGTGTCCGAGATCATTCCTTCGGTAGAAAAAAGTATGAAGAATAAATCGGACTTTGGAAAAGCGTTGGCTTCGGCATTTGCTGTATCAGTTGAATTAAAGTGATTATTGCAGTCTTTGGATTTTTGACTTTTGGATCAAAGACAGATGAAGCCATTGTTAATAATTTTCCCGCTGGACCACTTAACATAACCGCTTCTATAAGTCTCGTTATTAGCAGCTTACTCTCAATCATACTTTGCTTGAGACCTGTATGTGAATCTCTCGACGAATCGACGTTTTTTTCAGAAATAACTTCTGATATTTCCAATACCATATGTAATATTATAATTCGGGTTTCGTTGGTAGTCATCACACTGGCGATAGCTATTTTTCTGCCACACTTCGCGCTCATAGCAGCTCTTTTGGGATCTTTTCAGACTGTATTTGCCGGGTTTTGGATTCCTTTGTTGGTACATTTAAAGGTAAAGTACCACGAACTCAGCAGATCGCAGATTTGTGCTGATGTTATACTCCTGGTATTGTCAAGTGCGTTTTCTGTTTTGGGAAATTACTTCTGTATAAAAGCTCTCGTTCAGGCAAGACTAAACAGGTTTTAGAAAAGCGCTCTACTGTCTTCTGTTAACTATTTGCATCATGCCACCTGAGCACCTGGCAACACGAGCGCGACAAATCTCTGTGGCAATTAATTTCAAAGAAATTGACGGCAATTAACTACCCTCGGATCTGCTGCGGTCAGTTAACCAATCGAGAGACAACGGTGCGTGCTTACGGCTTACCGCAGTGCCTCTAATGTCGATCAGGGCTTGGTGCTGAAGAGACTCTCTGCGTTGAAGGTATAGAGACTCTCTGCGTTTAAGGTATAATATGCCCCAAGTGTGTTTGTAGTGAGAAGTATACCGGCTGCCATGCCCTGTCATGCAAAAAGGGAGGGTTCGTGGCGAAGAGACACGATGGTGTTCGCAACCTACTTACCTCACTTATTAGTAAGGTTTGCACCAACGTCGAAATCGAACCACAACTACAACCTCTCGATAAGGAGCGATTCAACCTCAGAAGCGCGTAACAAGCCCGGAGGCAAGGCAAGGCAAGGTCTCGTGGAGTTCAGCATTTTTTGATGTCAGAGTAACACATGTTAACTCCAAGTGTAACCAGGGAAAAACAGCATCCACAATCTTCAAGGAGAAGGAGGAGGAGAAACAGCGGAAGTACCAACAGAGGGTACTGGACGTTGAAATGGGATCTTTCACTCCCCTAGTTTTTGAAACCAACGGTGGGATGGGAGCCGACTGCAACTGCTTTCTCAAACGCCAATAGCCGAGAAGCTCTCTGAAAAGAATGAGGAACCTTATCACATTACTATTACTTGGATTAGAACATTGCTTTCTTTTGAGATTTTAAGGTCGGTACACACATGTGTAAGAGGTTCCAGGACACCCTTCCGCAAAGTTCCACAACGGGATTTCATTGATGACTGCCGCTTAAACGCTAGCCAAGCGTGTGTCCGCTGATTTTAGAGGGTGATGGTGGCGTGGGCAAATTAGTATTTTAGGAGCTTTTTAATATTTGTATTCATTTTTAATCGAAATGAATTGTTTTTAATTGAAATGAATTTTTTTTAAATCGAAATGAACTCAACCTTTTTAAGCGTCTCAATGTGCATTGCCTATCGAAAGTCGTTTCCGAAAGAGTGACAGATTTTCGAGCACAAGGACTAAACAATTCGCTCTTATCAATAAGTTAAATTGCACAATATGATGATAAAAATAGTTAGATACCAAGATACTAGATACCAAGTTATGGCCTTGTATAAATGCAGACTTCTGGTTTTGAAATCAATTTTCTGCCTAAGAAATCAACGACGAAAAGTGCCATTTTTGGGGATGAATTTCGGGCAAAAAACTGGCTTTATGGACTTTGTTGCCAAACGAACAGCGATATAAAGTGGAAATTGGGAGTTCCAGTTGGTTTGTTTGTTTTCATAATTACAAAATCTACCATTTAGTGTTATGAATAAATGTTCAAAAGGTTATAAGTAAAGTAAGACAAGAAGCAAATAGGAAATGCATGTACAGTATTTTTTACGCATATATATGCGGTGAAAGGTTTTATGCGGTGTTAGGCTTTAAAGGGTCAATCTAAATTGCTTTTTGCCCGTAAGTTGACATTAAGATATTGCAAACTCTGCAAACTAACGATAATTTAGAGTGAGAGTAATATTGGAAGGTTTTTTGTCAACCGAAGCAAAAGATAAGAACTTAGATAGGGAGGCTAGTGGTTACAAGCCCCGCGGAGCTTCATGTTAAGCCAAAGCGCAAAACACGAAGGAGGGTGGCGAATTTTGAAATTAAAGACTAAGAGCGAAATATTCTTAATTCAACATAAACAGCAGCGTATAGCTGGTCACCCTAGAGTGTTGACAGTGTTGCAGTGTGGGTGAAAATACTTGTCACGTGACTTTTTGAAGCGAAAACCTCAAAGCAGAAGCCACTCCTAATCTTAACTGTTAACTACTAATTCACTTGGAGATCAAAGCACCAATAGCTATTTTGAAATCCTAAGAAGGCCCCTTGATTAGAGTCTAGCTGGGCCTTACATTTTCTGGGAGTGTCAAATATCTAGGTCACGCGATACAAATCGTTCCCATAAAGCATAGCAATATATCTCAGCGACAACACACATATAATACAATACAACAACTTTTATTACTTCCTTTGAAGGCTATTCTGGAGTTCTTGCGTTACATTGTTTTTAATTCACTGCGTCAAGTGATTCGCTAATTCTCCATTGTTTTTTGCATAGTCAGACGTTGGGTTGTGTAGCAGTTCTGAAAAAGGAAATGCGTGGGAGATCTGGATACCAGATTACCGTGTACATTTTGGGGTTTGATTGCCTCAGAGAGGCCCTCAGAGACCCTAGAAGACCTAAAACCGACCCCATGTGAGGGAGTCTGGAATTTGGAATCCGTGAAAGTTTTGAATGTGGTATCCGGATTGCTGGGCTTTGGAATCCTGAATGTACCTCAAGGAGTTCCGGAATCCAGTCACTGGATCCAGAATTCACGGCGTGGAATCCAGAATCCAACACTGTCTTGGATTCTCTTACATGGGGCGATAGAGTCATGCCGGGTGCATTTGGCATGGTTGAGGGCCCAGTTACCTTATTATCCCAGGATCTGTAACAAAAGCAATACCTCCAGCTAATTAAAATTTTGAGCGGTGAAGGTAAACACCGCTTAAAGGTGTTTGTCTGAGTTTTCTAGTCAGATTTTTTTGGGGGATCTGAGTTTTCCATATTTGGCGAGGTCTGCATAATTTCTTGCTCTTTAAGAAGTGGATCCTTTGCGGTTTTTTCTTTCAAAAACACCCAAATTTACCGAAAATTAATCATCCTTCACTGACCTAAAAAAGACCCAAATGATGAATAGTCATGCCATAAATTGCACCAAGCGATCGAGTTCAAAGATCAAAAGAAGCTGCTAGAGTCACGAACCGACGAAATTCGAAAGATGCATGATTTTGTCTGTCTGTTCGCTTCCCGTTCAACTGACGATTAATCAGTTTTTTTTAAAAAAGTTATTTAAGCCAGGTTCGAAAGAAAACTGGACACAAGCATAACTCCTTTTAGAGGAGGGGGGAGGCACAGGAGCGTAAATCTCCCTCCTCCCAACTTTTTCAGTCAATTAATTCCTCCCTCCTCCCTACTTTTTCGGGCCATTTCTCCCTCCTTTCTATTGTGTACGTCCCCCCTCTTAGAGGAGCCTTCGTACAACTCACGACATTTACATATGACAAATAACGAATCACGGTAATTAGCATTCCCATTTCACGTTTCACGGTAATTAACATGAAAGTGATAAAAGATCTTAGTCTTTTGAAATATTTCCATTGAGAATTTCTTTTTTATTTCATGCCCGAGCGTCAAGTACAACTTCTTTTTACTCCATGGAAGAAAAAGGTCGAAACCCATGAACGAGCAAAGCTGTATCGTTGAGTTCATCTCGTGGCTTTACTGAAGTACAGTTTGTCAGTGTCTATTTGTTTGATCTGATTGATAACCTGCGCTTAGACTCTAAGCTAAGGATATGTTCACACCATGTCGGATAGCTTTGGCGCTGCCACGAGACCATGGGTTTCTGTAACGAAGCAAAGCAACGCCGCCCGGCGCGCCGATCTCCAAAGTGAAGAGTGACATATCAGATAGGTGTTCATATTATACAGGAAAGCTCCTCGTGTTGGCCAGCCTTTCTCCGAGAATCGTCGGACATTCGTTCTTCTTATTTTACGCATGGTAAACAGTTTTTGCAGCAGAAAAAAAAAAAATTTAACAAGTTTCAAGTATTACAAAGGATACGAGGAGGTGAATAATTTTACAGTCCACAGATCACAGCAGCTACAAAATGTTAAAAATTTTTCTTGAACGAGGGCACTTTCTTTACAGCCATGGCATGGGCTAATAGAGTTCCTTTGCAGAAATGCTTGATACTCTCTTTATTTTAGAATATTTTAAGAATAAACCCTAAGCTGAAAAGGAATCAATTTTGAGTTTGAAAATCTATAAATACAATACAATTTATGTTTTTAACTCAACCGTATAAAATTTATTATTCCTTTCACTAAACGGCAAGAACACTCTTAATTGAAACCCCAAGACATTCTAAAGCGGAAACGCCATAAGCTATTATTTAGTATTAAGAATATCATCAGTCTAAGATCAACAGAAAAATAAGAAATTTCAGCCTGGGCCGGAAAAACAACATTCTTATATAAAAAGAGAATGTTCGATTTGTTCAAAATCAGCATTCTTAAGTTCAAGGAAACAAAGCCGTTTGAGGTTGTGAGTTGCAGTCATCCATTTCTTTCTTTAAAGTCTACCGGTTCTTTTCAGTTTGTTCGCAGAACGTGAAATGCGTTTAGCATACGTCATGACTTCTCTGTACGTAGCCCGCAGCATGATTTAATTGTACTATAAAATGAGCCACTCTCTCCCTCATTGACTGTAGTCTACGAAGACGCTTGCTGTAACTACTCTTGTCAGTTTCTCACTTACCAACTCAGAACCTGCAATACGTAAGTACTTAGAAAGTAGACCTTTGTCAAAAATAG